TTGGCGCGCGCACACACACACACACGCACACACACATACCTGGCATGATTCTCACACCACTGGGTCCGAAATTCGAACTGCGTCGTCAGCTATGTGGATCCAGTGCCTTAGCCTCCATGCCACCTGTCGGCTCCCTCTCTCTCTTTCGACTGGTGTGTACATGTGTGTGTGTGTGTGTGTGTGGGTATGTGTTTGCGAGAGAGACGTGTTATGAATTTGTGCCCCCTTGAAACCGCTGACCCCACAGAACGGTTGCACCCCTCGTGGAAAATAGATACTGGGTTGTCGGAAAGTCATGGCTCTGGTTTGCATAGAAAAACACAGAGAAATGCACACGCCTTTTCCACACCCTAGTCATGTGAGTAAGAGGCCCGGCAGGGCTAACAGCTGCCGCTGGACGGTGTGGTGCACACAGCAGCGGCGCTGGCTTCTGTGGTAGAAAAGCAGACTAGGTGCGGGCGGTGGGGAGGGCAGGGGGCGGATTCGGGTGGGCAGGCCTGGGAGGAGCCATGGCACCGCCTGTTCTCGCTCATCTCCAGTTTTCAGAATCCAAGTCCCAGGGGTCTTTGGAAAGCTCATGGAAAACGTGCACTACGAAAACCTATGCACAGATTCAAATTGTTGTACCAAAAGAAACACCCACTTTCAACCTCGATCCCAGCCCTTCCCATTCTTGCCTAGATGAAGTCGGACCACTCAAAAGTGCAACACCCCCAAAAATCTGTCGTCAGGAACTCGGACTCTTCAAAATAACCCGTTTTGGTCCGGGTTATGTGGTGAATGCTGAGATAGAGGAAAACCAGTTAGCAAACGGAAAGTAGAAATTGGCGAACAGGATTCCACGAAGGGGCAGAAGGGGAAGGTTTCCTGTCTGCGTTTCTAGAAAGTTCTCTTTCTCTCAATTTCATAGCACTGTGTCATAGACCGGGGTCGTGCTGGGGTCTATAAAGAGAGAGGTTATCCAGGAAAGGGATTGCTTTACAACATTTAAAAACTAAGCATCCGAGACCCATGAAGGGGCTGGCCAGCCACTCACCGAGGGCGGCTGTTCCCTGAGGACAGGTGGCTGACTCAGGAGACATCTCTCCCAAGGTAATCCCAGGTGTGCGGTCGCCCCAGGCTGATCACACCTCCCGCTGGATGGACAGCACCACAGCCCGTGGGGTGCTCGGAGAGCTCCTGTGGGTGGACCCTCGTCCGGTCCTTCTCTTTCCGTAAGGCCTCCTCTGTTATCTTGTCCGAAGCGAGCACTTTCAGAACCACTTGCACGCACGTGCCCCTTTCACTAGCAATAGTATACAAGCCCTCACCTGTTCAGGCTGGGTGTGCCGTTTCCAGCTGCCGGTGCGTCTGACCACATGCCCTAGGGGTGACCCTCATTTCATTTTTAACTTCGTAAAGCCAATAAACTTCCCTTTCCCTTGTCCCTTTTGCTTTATAGTCGTTCTCTCTGGCTTGACAGGTTTAATGTTGGTGTCCCTACCATGTTGGTGTGTTGAGATCCTGACTCCCTCTGTGGTAGTGGGGGGAGGTCTGAGAACAATGGGCAAACCCGCTTGGAAAATAGTAGAATCCTTAGCTGTTTCCATGGACTGTAAGTCTCCAGGGTAGAGCCCTCTAGAACGGGCTGGGTGCCCTGAGAAACAGGCCTGAGGGCGTGCGTTCGTCCCTTCCATGTGAGACACAGCACAAAGCCTGTCCACGGACGGGGAAGTGGGCCCCAGCAGACCCCAGATGTGCTGGAATCGTCCACCTCCACAACTGTGAGCAGCGGATTTCTGTGGTTCGCGAGCCACCTGGTTTATGGCATTGTGTTACCGTGGCTGGGACAGGCCAGCCTGGTCTGCTGAGGGAGGAGGGAGCGGGTCCCTTTCATTTCCTTACTAGGGCTGCCCATGCTTCTTTCTCACCTTAAAATTGCCCTTTGGACCAAACCTGATTGCAACATTCTGCCTCAGCCCGCCTGAGCTTTCTTGGCTGAGCAGAATCCCTGTACCTGCCCTCCATCTGCTCTGGAGCTTGCTTCTCCCAGGGTGCCCCAGGAGTTTTTTTTTTTTTTTTTTTTTTGTCATTGTAAGATTTTGCTATATGGAACATGCACTTGTGTGCAAGAGAGACAGAGATCGAGAGAGAGAGAGGGTGAGAGAAAGTGCAAAATTACCCCCTGGGGGGATGGCCATACCACAGTCCCTTCCCCTCCAGTGTCCTCTTAGGATTTTGGGCATACACGCACATGCCCAATGTGATTTTAACCCACTAGGTCCTGGCCTTGAACCGTGGTTGGCCATGTGGGAGTCCAGCACCTTAACCACCACACCAGGCACTGCATCTTGAAGTACTCAATTGAAGAGAAAACATACTTTGCTGCTGTTGAATACATACTGTATTTAACTGTTCTGTAATCCCAGAGAAGTGAAATGCAACATCTGCTTGAGTTTATGTAACATCCAAAGACTGGCGACTCCGAATCTCCTAGTGAAAGTCATTTTTAAGGCACTCTGCAGAGACAGCTTCCGTCTCTCCTTTGGCTGGGCTTTCCCCAAACTGTAGCAGAATACCTGGTTCCTCCTTCTTCAAAGTGACCCGCACATGCTCATGCTCCTAACCTGCTCTTCTGTCCTCGACGACGTGGAAACAGTAAAGGAAATACACCTGGGGACGGGGCAGGGAGAGGGCAAGACGAGTCCGACGAACTGAACCGACATTATTGAAGAGGAAAGGGAATGGAACAGCGCGGGGTGGGCCAGAGGGTTGGCAGCCGGCGAAGAAGTAGGCTACGTTTCCCAGTGACGTTTAAAATCACGTAGCCGGCCCTCCCCCGTCTTTCTTTTTCTTTTCACTTTTAAAGAGAGGGCCGGTGTAAGGGAGCTGTTTCAAAATTACACGTGTATGTCGGTAAGTGTGCTTGCCTGTGTCACGCCCTAAGGAAAGGTTGGTCTTAGAGACGGGGTGATGTGGCGGGGTGGGGTGGGCCTTTAAAATGCCCTCTTGATGCAAATGACCTCCCTTACTGACCCACGTCTGTGCCTGGACGTCTCACCTGGAGAGCCACTCCTTCGGATTAAGGCATTATCTGTAGCCCCTATTAAAACGTCATGTCACCTGAGAAGGCAACACTCCTCATTAGCACCCACCGACTGAGCTGTCACCTACAGAGCAGACCCTGAGAGGTGGGACATGGTGCGGGACACGGTGACCGACAGGGAGGGAAGGTGTGGTGTCTGGGATGCTGGACAGGCATAACTGGCAGCCGGGGTGGGTGAGGTGACATAGTGCTTGTCTCAGGGAGACTGGACGGGGAGACGGCGTGGCAGCATGCACTGTCCCCGTCATGGGCTTCCCTGGGCTGTGTGTGTGTCTGTATCGGAACACTCTGTGCCATTCACGTGGGGCCATCGTGGACAATGGAGGGGCACTCGCTGGAGCTGGAAATAATAGAATCCTTAACTGTTTTCAGGAAAGTATGATAGCATGTGGCATGAGATCGGACGTCTTCACAGATCTGGATGGCTTGTGTGTAGACAGTGAATGTGCACGCGTGTGCGCGCACACAGTTACGTACACTCAGCATTAGAGAGCCCGTCAATGTGAAGGATCAAGTGTCTTCTCACACACCCAGGACTCGGACACACGGTGGCTGCTGCCAGTTTGCCAGGGGAGGGACTGGCTTGGGGGTGACAGGACCCCTTCCCATTACCAACGGACCCTCGGTGACCTTCAGGTGGTGCTGGAGAAATGACCAGGGCTTGGGTTAGAAAGACTGGCCTGGGCTTACCATCAGGAATGTCACCAAAGTGCCCTTCGCTCTTTGGAGTTCGGGAGCCTTGGACAGGTGCCGACGGAGGGCAAGCCTGGCAGGTCCTGTGCCTAGGAAAACTGGCAGTCACTGGATCACGGGAACATCACGCGACTCACGGGACCTGCCACGTGTCCAGGGGTCTGCTCAGGTGGAGCTGATGGGAAGGCTTAGTGAGGAGCAAGGGCTGCAGGAGTGGGAGAGGGCCCCCAGAAAGCCTGGGCACTGGAGGGCGAGGCCGTCTGGGTGGCGCAGAGGGACGAGGAGGCAAGGTCTCACTGGCAATCCTCACCCTGCCTCACATCGGAACCGATGCCCCGGTGCTGGCATCGCGCGATTGCTTTGGGGAGGGACCAGGATGGGTACTTGTTTAGCTCCTGAGGGGACTCTAATGAACATCTGGTGTTAAGAATGCTGCACCAGGGCCGAGGGGAAGTCTAAGCTGAACCATCGGGCTGGGGCCTGCTGGCCAGTCCTGCCCAGGGGCCTTAAGGGATTGGAGGTCGGCTTGGCCCAAAGGGTGGGTGGGAGGGGAAGTGTCTGGGGCTCTGTCTGAACAGTCTAGCTACGCTGACCACGGCTTCACAGCTTCACCAGTGGTGGGGTCCCGATCCATTTCTGGCTGAAAATCTGGCTGGGGTAGAAAGGTTTGGCCTTAAGGAGAGAATTCCCTCTTTTCTGTGGCTTCAAAGAATAATTCACTGTGCTCTATGGGGCCCGGAAGACAAATTCTGGGGCTGATGCTTTCAAGATGGAAGTGGATTTTCTGCTGTATAATAAATACACATTTCATAAATAAATAAATCAGTAAGCAAGCCAATAAATAAACCAATAAATAAAACCACACACATCATTTTGCCTTCTTAGGATGGTTATCCCCTTCCCCTTGGGGTCCCGGTGACATGCACTCTGCCCTTGGTCACCTGGAGGCACCCACCTGTCATGGCAGGGGAAACAGGAGGCTTTGGCCCTGGCTTGCCAAAGATCGAGACCTTTGAGAAACCTCAAGAGAGTATTGACACTGGCCAACCATGTGGACGAGGAGGAGGTGGGGGGATTTGCACCCCTCTGTCCCAGCCAGACACGTAGGGGAAGGCAGGGCTTGGGAACCAAGGCTGGGCCATGGTAGGTGTTTGAAGTCCAGGCTGACAGCTCTGTGCCTTCACTTTGAGGGCTGGGGACGGACTTGAAATCTGGGTGAATCCAATCTTCCACACACGCAAACACACAGCAGGCATGGTCTCCTCAATACAGCTCCCCAGGAGCCCAGCAGCCAGCCTGGCCAGCCCGTGGCAAGTGCCACATGGCGCGTGGTTGGGCAGGAGGAGGTGCTGGCCGTGGGACGAGAGGTGGTGTGGAGACAGGCAGGGGTGCTCATTTCGCGGGAAGTCAGCTGGCCAGGCCTTCAGCTTCCGGAGTCACAGCCATTGCTCGTCCCCTCCTCCTTGGTCCCCGCCATGTGGCTCTGCTTGCTGGGCTTGCCTTGTCCCTCCTGGAGACCTGTAGGTGGACATGGATACATGGGAATGAGCCAGGCATTCAGACAGCCACTGAAAACGCCATTCCCCAAATGCAGATCTTCACCATCGGGCTCCCGAAATAGACTTCGAAGGGATCATGGCTCTGAAATTTCAGGTATTTGTTTTCCTTTGTATTTATAAAGAAAGCCTGAAAGTTTCATGTGGTTCTTCTAAAACAGATTAAAAACCTGGGCCCGGCCAGTAGCCTGGTGATTGAGGAGGCTAGATTCCACACGGCTGACTGTGAGGTTCAAGTTCCGGGCAGCGCAGCTTGAAAAACACTCCAGGATGCATGCATGCCCCAAATCCTGAGAGGAGAATGGACGAGAAAAGATTGTGGTGTGGCCATACCCTCTGGGGGGGGGTGCTTTTGCATTTTCCCCCCTTCTCTCTCCCTGTCTCCAGCAAGCCTGTGTGTCCTATAGCAAATTAAAAAAAAAAAGAAAAAAAGAAAAAAAGGAGAAAGATTAAAACCAAAATAATATTAAAAGAGTCTAGATCATGTATATGTGTAACCCATTAGCAAGGCACCTAAGGAGCTAAGAAATGGGTGGGAACTCCAGCCGCCTTAGAGCCTTGTCTTTTATTAATATTGGGTTGTCAGGAAAGTCATGACACATTTTTGCATAGAAAAGCATAGAGAAATATGTCACGACTTCCAGACAACCTAATAGCATCTGAAGCATAATGAGATTTGCAGAGATCTCTGACTGACCAGAGCCCTCTAGCTTACCTGGCTCTCCTGCCGTTCCGGGTATTGCAGCTGTGCTAAAAAGGACGTCTTGACTATGCATCTATATTACTCAACTTGAAGTTGTCGATTAATTTTTTTTTTTTTTAAGAAAACTTGTTGCCACTATTTTGGGGGGCCCTTCTATCCTGTGCATTGTGTTATGTTAATAGTTGTGGCCTGAAGAAGTGAAGTGAGCCAGCTGAATTTTTAAAATATCTAAAAAATATTTTCGAATGCATGAAAAATTGCTCTAAGGTGGAGCCAGCACTGGGCATTCTCCTCTGGTCATTTTTTCTGTCGTTTGTCATTGGATTTGCTTACGGGAGTATTCTGCTGTCACGGCACATGTTTTTACGATGACCAACTAATGAACGTCACTGCGTTTGCAGGTTTTATGCATGGGTTCAGTTTTAGAAAGAAAACAAATCTGACTTCTCATGTGGATCAAATAAACAAGTTCCAGTTAATCGAAGGCAGCAGACACCCCCGTTACACACACTAATGGGGACTTAGCCTAGAAGCCATTCCCAGGAACATCCCTTGATGCCTGAGCTCACAGCGAGCTGCCACGCTCTTTGGTGACATAAATGCCAGTACCCTTCATACGATTACAAGGTTGGTCAGAATAATTGGGTATGGGGGCTGATCACGCTAGCTGATTGGAGGCGCTGATGGTGCAAGGCTTGGCCATCCCTTCATACCTCGTGTGACACACAATGACAGGTATGTCGGGGACAGAAAAGAGACATACAACACTAGTGCGTGTGTGTGGAGGCCTCCAGACCACCCGAGTCTGCTACTTGTGTGCAAAAGTCACGTCACTGTGCCAACTGCTTTATCATACCATTGTGTTCATCACATGCTCTATAGCACACTCACTCTTATAGTTATTACACAGCGAGCATGCCTCTGGGCTAGCGTGATTGTACAGAAACCATCTGAGCTGCACGGTTGGACTTGTCTCTGTTTTCTCCAAGGCAGGGCACAAGAAGCCCAGAGCTCCCTGTCAGTTGTGCTCCCATGAGCTTCAAGCTTTGAGGGCTCACCGTGGAGCTGAGAGTAAGCCCTCTTCCCACCTCACATGGCAAAGCGAGTGTCCCGAGGGTGGCCTACACGAGAATGGCATAAAGCCAATTCACAATCAGGACTCTGGGTTCTCTGGGCCTTAGACCACCCAGGACTCAGGGTTCTCTGGGCCTTAGGCCGCCCTGCACCAATAAACATGGCGTCTGATAAAGAGCGCTGGCTTGGGAATGCTTGAGGATGGGAGACAAGATCGTTTCTTGGGCTGCAGAAGGTCTAAAATCCGACTGGGCTTTAAAGCTCACTATCCTTTCAAAAGAAACACCCTTTCGCCTTGTGACGGATGTGCCCCACGACATTTTCTCGTGTCTGATTTTGTGAGTGGTTCCTGGAAGGAGGTACGTTTTTGCAGTGGTGGGAGCCTTACAACATTCTCCAGGTGAAAGGGGAGTCTTTAGTCCACGATGTGTGTGTGTGTGTGTGTGTGTGTGTGTGTGTGTGTATGCGCGTGCATGCACCTGCTCATGCACAGACAGGCAGGTGGGGTGGCCCCTCTGTCCCTGTTCACCTGACTCACAGGTGCACGTTCTTTCTATCCTAATTAATTAGCAGTAATAGTTTTCCATAGTTTCTGGTATGTGAGGGGGTGAAGTGGGAAATCATTTAATTGGCTGTCTTGCTTCCAAAGCCCAGTTTAATGAAATAGTTCTCGGCCTGGGGTGCCTGTGTTATGTTTCGTGTTATTTTTGCCAATTAGCATTTCGTTGGATCACATCTGGGTGGAATATTCCAGCTGGTTTGTGGGGTGGGGGTGACGGACAGGAGCGGATGGAGAGATAACTGCGCCTGGATGCGGGTGGTTGTAGGTCTCCCCAGTGATTTTCCTTGGGAGAGCCCAAAGTGCCCCCCAAAGACCTGCCTTGTCACCTTCCCTGTCCTCAGGAGCCCTGGGCCAGCCAGAATGGAGAGGTCCCCTCAAAGGCAAACCAGCTGAGGCTCTGGATAGAGAGAGACTAAGGAGGCACTTTCCAAGGCTCTGGGGTTCCGTGGTGGGTTGACCGTGAGGGGAGGAAGGGGAGGCTCTCCATCTCCCTGAGCAGGGACTGGTGAGCTCATGTTGGACAGTCACTCAGTCTGAAGACTTGTCGAAGAAAGAGCATTCGGGGGACCCCACAGTCCCCTCCAGCTCTGCGCTCCCTGAGAGGAATGCAGTGAGTCAGACGGGCCTGAAGCAGGTGCACAGGGATGAGGAAGCGAGCTAGGCACTGAGGGAGGCCCGCTCCCTGGGGCACTGCACGGGTAGGGTGGGTGTGTTCACAGACCTGGAGTGAGTGCCTCACGCCGTGCCTGGGTGCCTTCCCTGGCTCACCCTTTCCACACGAGGCATGACGCAAAGCATGCTGCCCTCCTTGCTGCCTCCTCCCTGCTCCCAGCAACGCTGCCAGCCCGAGGCCACCCCTCACACCCTCACAGCGCTGTCCGTGGCCCTCACGATCCCCAGTGAGGCCCGTGTGGTGCTGAAGTGTGCAGTGTCTTGGCCCTCCTCTCTCACGACCCTAACTCTTTCATCTAGTTTCTCCTCTGGGCATGCTGACCCAGCACTCAGCTTCCAAGGAGTCCCATTTTCTGGGTTATCAAAATGTGGGCCTGGGGCCAGCACTTGGCGTAACAGCTATGTTGCTGGACTCCCATGTGGTTGACTGCAGTTCGAGTCCTGGACCCGGTGACTTAAACTCATGCCAGGCGCTTGTGCATGTGTGCCAAAGATTCTGAGAGGAGAATGGAGGAGAAGGGATTGTGGCGTGGCCATTCCCCCTGGGGGGGTGATTTCTCGCTTTCTATCTCTCTGTCTCTCTCTGTCTCTCTGGCAAGTGCACGTGCCCTATAGCAAAAATCTCTCCAAAGAAAATAAAAAGTGGGCCTGGAAGCAGGGGAGAGGCTCCTATGCTCGGCCACGTGGCCTGCTGCCCTGAGGCCCACCTCAGCCTGTCTTAGGAGAGCTGGTCAGGTTCTCTAAAGAACCCCTCCCAGGCCCAGCTTGGGGTGTGGGGACAGGGGACCTTGGAACCAACTCTGAGGCCGACTGTGTGGCTGGTGCCGGTGGGGCCATGGGGATGGAGTCAGAGGTCCACACCACATCTGCCCCAGGTGGCGAGACAGCCTGCGGGGGTGCGGTGCAGGGTGGGAAAAAGCACGTCTTCATTTTACCTGCATCTCTTAGGTCATCGGCAAAGTCGTGACACGTTTTCCTATGCAAAAATGTATCATGACTTCCCCAGAGACCCAACACTCAACCAAATCTGCAATGCCACCTCCGATTGTGGGCTCTCAGCAGAGAGCTGGGACATCGGAAGCGTAGAGGGGACAGGCCAGGAGACCCACACAGGGGTTGGGATACGTTTCTCCACCCCTCCTGCCTGGGCCCATGGTAGGAAAAGTGCAGCCCCTCCTGCTGGCTTCTCCTGCCGGCTTAAACTAGGCGAACCCTGTCAGGATGGTGAGACCAAGCCAGACCTGATGTCCAGCTCCCTTCCTCCCAGAAGGCCTCTTACGGTGGCGGCTTTCTCCCCAGAGCTGCCCTCTGCAGGGCTACATGGCAGCCTCCTTTCTTCCGCGGTTTCCAGGGTCAGGCCTGCCCTTCAAGGCGGCTGCGAAAGGGAGGAGCTCAGAGCTCACAGCCCTCCGGAGGCCACCCTGGGCAGGAAGAGGAGTTTCCCTGACGTGTTTTGGCTCTCTGTGTAGATGAGGCCTGAGGGCCGGCAACCAGCTCCCTGCCTGCTGATTCTTAGGGTGCATGCGCTCACCAGAAAGTCAGAGAGAGAAAGCGAGAAATCACCCCCCAGGGGGGATGGCCACACCACAGTCCCTTCTCCTCCATTCTCCTCTCGGG